TCCTAGCTCACGATCTCGTTTCTGTAATCACTCTCACCAGAGGGCACAGTAACAGACGACGACCTGGCGGCTGCTCCCACTTTTTTTAACCCAAGTGCAAGTCTAGGGGGTTGTCTGATGAGCCGTACAGGCCATCTCCCTCAAGAAAAATAGCTAGTTACAAAACTGCGATATAGTACAGAGCCGCAACGCTACGTTCAGTCCCATGTCCAACCGATCAAAAGTACATTCGGCGCCAGACGGAGGCTAGCTGTTGCCGTGCGATTTTCGCGACCAAACTGTCATTTTTGAGCGTGGGCTGGAATTCTAGCGCTTCTTCGATCTGCTCAGAAGTGAGGGGCTCTCAGAAGTGAGGGGCTCTCAGAATTGAGAGGCTCTCAGAAGTGAGAGGCTCTCAGAAGTGAGGGTGGGTATCAAACCGGGGACAGTGGGCAAGAACGGTGCAGACCAGCTTACTTTTTTGCCGAACTTCTCCAGATTACTTATTAGCTGTCCGTCAATAAAGAATATTCTTCCGATGTTGGCTAGTTCTTCGCCCAGTTCTCGCTGGTGATCGTCCATAAGCTCTGTGTTGTTGACTCCCCAGATGACCGCCTTTGAGCTGATGGCATCGATAAGGGTCCCGGCTCCGCAGTGGCACATTACGACGTCGGAGTCTTGCATGAGGTACGGCAGATGTTTTGAATACCGGAACCAGTATGTGTGGCTTCTTAAACGTTCTGTGTCCAGCGGTATTTCGGGCTTCCTTCTCAGGTGCAACGGCTGTTCGTCCAGGGGACGCTCGGCCGTCATTATCGTCCGCAGCTCGGAAACCTCATTCGACTGGTCAGGCCACGCACTAACCTCTTCTTCAAGCCCCACCGTGTAGGACGGTATAATACTCGCCCGAGCACCTCCAACCTGGACCAGTATCGTCCCAAAGTGCTCTGCCAACCGGCTGCTATCTATAACCTGAAATATTCGCTCCACCAACAAATCAAACGACGTAGTTCCCACCGTCACTAATAACCTCATTGCAAAGGGACAAAATCGCACAAAGGGAAGGCGCAGAAATCAATTCACCCCGCAGCAACGTATCAGTGCTATGCCCCCCAGTAGGATGCCCCCCAGTAGGATGCCCCCCAGTAGGATGCCCCCCAGTAGGATGCCCCCAACATACAACTACCAGAGAAAACCACCCAGTAAATCGGTGGGGAACGAGGACTAGCTAGCTGGACCCGGACCGGCGGCTGGATCCAGAATGGCTAACATGGACCCGCGGCTGGCTAAAGTTGACCCGCGGCTGACACCAGCCATCTAATGAGCCGTATTGTCCTATCTCACTTCGTGATGTTTCGCCCGCTCCAATGAGTCTTCGCCCCCTTGTCTTCTTAGGTGGCCAACGTGGATGGCTTCTGCTTGTTCGCAATGACTGCAGTCAGAACAGTCAGGAGCACTGTTAGACTCAAGTAGCCCATTATGATGCTCCAAGCAATCGCATTATTCACAAAGCACCACCACCACAGCACAGGTGCCGTGTTCTGGCAGAACAATGTAGTGTTCGTCAACGTCGTTCCCATGACCACCAACACGCCATACGCCACCGTGCACACCGTCTCCACCACCAGGTAGCTTTTGCTCGACCATGGCAAAAACCCGCAAACCGCGGTAACAGGGGAACTCAGAAACACCGACCCCACCACATACCACCGTAAAGGCTTGTCGCAGTAGTCATTCCACGTCGTCACCAGCACGTACACCTACAACACAACCCGTCGTCACCTACACCCACCCACACTTACACCCTTTACTTGCCCCTTTTGCTTACCCCCACAATGTCAAGTATCAAAGCTATCCCAAGCGCAGTCCTCGCGAACACCGCCGTATCGTTCATCCCAAAAAAGATGCTTATGCATACATGTCCTCAGTAACCGCACCTGCGGCTTCGCGATCTTCGAACTCAGGCACCGCCCCCTCGTCCGCCACAAAAGCGGCGTCGATCTCCGCAGGGGGTTGGTTGAAGTACCGAAGGGCGCCACCGAGCAGAGCCAAACCGCCAGCCGCACTAGCCACGCCAGCACCAATCTTTGCACCGTTGCCGCCGCCGCCGCTCGCCGTTGTAGTACCCGCAGCAGGCGTGGTAGTAACCGTCACCGGCCTCGTTGTTGTAGTAATCGGCTTGGCTGTAGTGGTAGTAGCCGGCTTGGTTGTAACTGGCTTGGTCGTAGTCGTAGACGTAGTCGGCTTGGTCGTAGTCGGCTTGGTCGTAGTCGGCTTGGTCGTAGTCGGCTTGGTCGGCTTAGTCGTCGTCGGCTTAGTCGTAGTCGTCGTCGGCTTAGTCGTAGTCGTCGTCGGCTCGGTCGTAGTCGTCGTTGGCTTGGTCGTAGTCGTTGTCGGCTTGGTCGTAGTCGTCGTCGGCTTGGTCGTAGTCGTCGTTGGCTTGGTCGTAGTCG